AAGATAAGTTCTTTAGTTTTCGTGGTGTTCAGTTGGAGGTTGTTAACTGAACACCACTTAGTCAGTCTCAGTCAGTCTGTTGACCTCATCTCTGTAGTCAGACTCATCCCATTTTGCATCATTCCTTCATCATATAAATCAGCGGTCCTCAACCCCCGGGCTACGGACCGGTTCATGAGTCATTTGGTACCGGGCTGCGAGAGTTGACACTCGGGTGTGAAATTTATGGTTTTCAGGGATTTTATTGGTTTTTATCGTTATTTTTTATCATTTTTATCGTTAACTTGGTTTCTTTGGGTCCTTTCCTATGTGTTATGAATAAATCTTCTTTGTTTTTGGTACCGGTGCTGTTTTTTTTTTCCTTGTATGTATCCGTGAAACCTTAAAGACCAGTCCATGAAAATATTGTCAGACATAAACCGGTCTGTGGCACAAAAATGGTTGGGGACCGCTGATATAAATGATTAGTTAACTTACGTTATTGGATTCTTCTTGGTCACTGTCCTGGATCTCAGTTTGGAGTGGCCAGGTTGGGAAAAATAAACACATATTTAGTGAGATTGTTGGATTTAGTAGAGAGACTGAATTAAGAGAATTCATCATTAGTGTGACAAAGAATATCACTTTCACCGATGGTCTTATAGAAAATGATTACAGCTATACAACACTCTTTACAGTAAGCTGAAGAAACGTGTCTCTGTGCACGGGCCTGCTGTGGCTCCTCTGCTGTGTTTTATCCAAAGCAGTTGGAATCAGTACAAACACACCAAGTTTCTCTGTAAGAGCGTCACACACATCTGTTCCCAGGATAACACTGGAAGTGTCACGGTTTGCTTGAGGACTCACACGCAGGACTCAGAGGCACAGTTGGTATTTATTACTGTTCCACCAGGTGTATATACAAATAGTACAGGGGTAGTGCTATATACAAAGCGGTGACAGGGAAAAGGCTCCGGGGAAATCCAGGTAGGGAAAAGACACTTGCTCCTCTTCTGACTCTCTCCTATCGTGACCAGTCTCTCTCCAAACACTCACAAAAAACAGGAATCCAATCGGGGAATGCAGGGTCGGGTCCAGGGGATCTATGTACAGAAGGAAACACACGTTAGAGGTTTTGCACAGGGAAACAAAAGAGAACTTGCTCAGAGCTGGGCTGCACTGATGCGAGTCATACACAACGATCCAGCGATGAGTAGAAGCCACTCCCTGGCTTAAATGCTGGCTGCACTGATGAGGCCCAGGTGTTTCCTCTTCAGAGGGGCGTGGGCCGAGGGCGTGAACCCGCCATGAGTTCCGCCCTGGCGAGAGAGCGAGAGAGAAAGAGACCGCTACTAGTTAGCGGCCTGCTGATCCCCTGGCCGTGACAGAAGTGTATAGATGAAACACCAGGTTTGCCCCGGTGAGCAGTTGCATTCGTTAGACGTTCACTGTTTTACTTTTGCTTCCTTGCAAGTAAAATAAACATGTTGGAACTCGCTGCTCTGTGTGTCTCACTTCATAAGAGAATTTTTGAAACATGTCCCACAGAGACACTTTGACACATTTCTGTCTCTCCTCAGGCTGACTGTACACTTACCAAGAGACATGGGTTTACTAGTAGTAGCTACTCAACAAAGCCAGGGAAGAGGTCAGTGCATTCATTTTTTATTTTCATTTTGTACGTAGACTACCAGTCCAACATTTGGACACACCCTCTTATTTAATGGTTTTTCTTTATTTTTACTGCTTCCACATTGTAGATACAAACTGAAGACATCAAATACATGAAGCTAGATATATGGAATAATGCAGCAAAGAGAAAATGTATAAATAACTCTGAGGAATCTAAAATATAAGACATTTAAAGTAACCCTTTGCTTTGTTCTTAATGACGTTGGGACCATCTGTTGTGTTGTGCAGCAGTCAGGTTGGTGCACAGCTGACAGGCCTATTTGACAACTGCTAGAATTCATATTATGGCGAGAACCAATCAGCTAAGTAAAGAGAAACAACAGTCCATCATTACTTTAAGAGCTGGAGGTCAGTCAGTCGGAAAACTGCTAAAACTTTGAATGTGTCCCCAAGTGGAGTCGCAAAACCATCAAGACTACGATGAAACTGTCTCACATGAGAATCGGCCCAGTAAAGGAAGACCAAGAGTCTCCTCTGCTGCTGAGGATACATTCATCCGAGTCACCAGCCTCAGAAATCACAATCACAAGCAGCAGCTCAGATCAGAGCTCAGATAGATGCCACACAGAGCAGCAGCAGACACATCTCTACATGTTCAGTGGAGACTGTGTGAATCAGGCCTTTATGGTCAAACAGCTGCTAAGAAACCACGACTAAGGAAAAGGATCATTGAAGGCAAACTGAACCAGCATGGCTACCACAGCATCCTGCAGCCACATGCCAGGACAGGACAATGAGCCCAAACACACCTCCAGGCTGTGTGAGGGCTGTTTGACCATGAAGGAGAGTGATGTCTGTGCCAGATGGCCTGGCCTCCACAGTCACCTGACCTAAACCCAGTGGAGATGGTTTGGGATGAGATGGAGCGCAGAGTGAAGGCAAAAAGGCCAACAGGTGCTCAGCATCTCTGGGAACTCCAAGACCGTTGGAAAACCATTTCAGGCGACGACCTCATGGAGAGAACGCCAAGAGTGAGCAAAGCAGTAATCAAAGCAAAGGCTGGCTTTGAGAGTTATTTCACACTTGTTGATTACTGCATAATTACATATGTGTTCATTCATGATGCCTTCAGTGAGAATCTACGATGTAAACAGTGTGAAACTAAAGAAAAACATTCAATGAGAAGCTGTGTCCAAACTTCTGACTGGTAGTCTATTTCACAGTATGCTTTAGGTGTTTGGTAAAACTTGCTGCTTGTGTTTTGTGCTGTAGGTCGGGGAAGGAATGCCTGGCTCAGCCCTCTGGGTTGTGCCATGTTCACTCTGAATGTCCAGATTGAGCTGAACTCCAAGCTCGGACAGAGGATTCCCTTCCTGCAGCACCTGGTTGCTCTTGCTGTAGTGGAGGCTGTTTGCTCACTTCCTGGATATCAGGTATCCCAATATCTCCATAATAACATTAAGACATCCAACTGTTTAGCAGTCCATGTTCTTATTACAGCATTACTACCAGTTAATGTCACTGTATTAAAAGCATTTTATTCGAAGCACTGCAGCGTTACGGCCTTTTTCCTGCTTAGATGTTCTTCTATTGTTCTAAAAGATGATTGTGCCCTTACTGTAAGTTTTATTTTATTCATTCTTTTAGGTTTTTCCTCATATGCCCTGTGTTTGTTCCCCCATCATTAGCCTAGTATTTACCCAAAAGTTGATTCTGTTCATCAGGACGTTTTCAGTGGGAGAAACATTTCATCATCATCCAGGTGACGTCTTCAGTCTCAGCTGACTGCAGGTTTCCAATCTTATAAACAGGACATTTGCATAATGACTGAAACCAGCACCACTGAATGAACTGTGATTGATCATTAATATGCAAATTATTATGGACATTGATCAACAACCACTGATCAAAGCCCATGAGTCCCATTCACAGAGAGTTGGTGAATGGCTGCAATCACAGCATTGTAAGATGGTGACAGATGTACCCTTAGGCCCCTCCTCCATTCAGAGATGGTCTTTCCCTTTTCACATAAATGGCCTCCTTGACTCCGCCCTCAAACCAGCGTTCCTCCCTGTCCAGGATGTTACATCCTCATCATTGAAAGAGTGTCCACTGGCCTGTAGCTGTAAACAGACTACAGAGTCCTGATGAGGTGGCTCTCCTGTGTTGTGCCGTCCTCTTAGCCAGAGGTTGTTGTTGTTTCCCCGATGTATAAATCCTGCCAATCCTCCTGCACTTAACAGCGTACACTATGTTACTCTGTTTGTGTCGGTGTTTGGAAGAAATGCGTCTCAGCTGTTCCGATACTCCTGACATGTACTACGGGTTTTCACTTACGCAGCAGTTGTAGCGTCCTGATGACACCCAGTTTGTGCTCCAGTGGATGTGGAGTCAAACCTTAAATACTGATCCGTATGCGTAGGTTGATCAAGGAACTGACCTCCCAGCCCATCGTTCCTTCAGTGGTGCTAGTTTCAGTCCTTGTGCAAATGTCCTGTTTATAAGGTTGGAAACCTGCAGTCAGCTGAGACTGAAGACGTCACCTGATGATGAAACATTTCTCCCACTGAAAACATCCAGATGGACAGAATCAACCTTTTGGGAGAGCATGCATGAAGACAGCCTAGTATTTACCTCATAATGGAAATTAACATATCCAAGCATGGTCATTAACATGCAATTACTTGGAAATGTTATTAGACTATTTTCACACATTTTGAAGTATAATAAAGGTCATTGTGTTGGTATTAAAGTACATGTAAGATAGATGATGTTTAACCTCCTGTAGGACATAGATCTGAGGGTGAAGTGGCCCAATGACATCTACTACGGTAACCTGATGAAGCTCGGAGGAGTGCTGGTGACTTCCACAGTACTGGGATCAACTTTTCATCTGCTCATAGGTGACAATCTGCACGGTTCAACGAACACATTTCACTCACATCAACATGAAGCCGTTCCTCACATGGCTAAACTAACATACTCATTTTAAACTTGTTAACATAAGAGAGTACCTTAATGTAGCAGTATACAAAGTTTTATATGAGAATGGGCGTCTGATTGGTTAAAACCGATGAGGAGAAATCCTAGTTTACATTTATTCTGCCTTCGTTGGCGCCCCGAGGTGGTCCCAGCCTCTCAGCAATCCTGAAGAGCAGCACCTAAAAGGGAAGGCCCCTACTCTGCTACACGGGTACTAGATGTTTTTCCCTGTTCTCTCACCTTTCACCTAATCACTTCTCACATCTTAGTTAGCATGAAGGCCACCCTGGCTGAGATACTGGATATTGTTTTTGTCTCACGCGGTCCCGATGACCCACCTTATCATAGGACTTTGTGTCCCTTCACCTTGAAGCTTCTTCACTGTCGCCATTTCTAACTAAACACTGTCTAGACATCTAAATTCTTAAGCTGTTCACTATAACACTAAATAGTCCCTCCTCTTACACCTGTTAAGGTGTAAACCTTTATCTCACACACTGTCTTCCCCTTTCCATTGTACAGGGCATCTGTGGTGCCCTGAGCTTCAAACCTTCAACACTACACTTGCTTTTGCCCTCAGAGGCCTTTACTCCCTCCTGTTACACCTACTCTTCCTCGTCACCCTCTGACTCCTCCTCCACTCGGAACAATGGCGACTGTTATGATGTAGAGTTCTTCTCCTTAGACAAAACAGCTACGATCAACCTATCCGATAGCCGTCTAGCACATGGAATACAACAACAATCACAGGAAAGTGGAATAGCTAGAAAGCACACTATTTATACTAACAAGGACATGCAGGGGTCGGCTGTCTGTCGCGGTTTCTGCCAGATTAGTCCTCACCTCGGCCAAAGTTCGCGAGGGTGGTTGTGCAGGTACACAGTGTGTCAGGTGGTACCAATTAGCTCCAGCTTTACCTTTACCTGGACTGCATGGGTTATACATTGAATCACCTCATAGGGTCCAGTCCTGGGTTCAAGCCACTTTCTCTTGTGAACTTTCACCCATGCCCACTCACCAACCTTTACTGCTCATTTGGAGTTGCCTCGGGCTCAGCCAGCTGCACCTGCTTAGACAAAACTCTGGTCAGTTTAGTCAACGCTGTCGTATGTTCATCACGACTCACCTGCCAGACATCCAGAGAGGGCATATGACCTCCCTCTCATGGTGGGCCAGGGCACCTGGGGAGGTTCTCATTGACATGAGAGCAATGGGGAGAGAGTCCACCCACATCAGTCTAGTTCCATAAGAGAAATCAAGAATCTTTCTCTTCAGAGTCTTATTTGCCCTTTCCACCAGCCTTTGTGAGGCAGGATAGCAAACGGCCCTGAAACTGTGTTATACCTCGAGCCTTTTCTACCCCTGCCAGTTCTTTATTTGAGAAATACGAGGCATCATCGGAGCATATGCTCCTCGGGACCCCAGACCAGGGTATTAACTTGTTTTTCAGCCACTTCACTACAGTCTGCGCTGATTCATTTTTGCATGATACTGCTTCCACCCAGCTTGTGAACTTTTCCACCATCACCAGAAAGTACCTGACCCACTCCCACATCAGCGAAGTCAATTGTGATATCTTGAAGTGGAGCCTCTGAGACTGGAAACCTTACCACTGGGCATTTGTAGGGCGCCCTTGGGTTGTGCTCATTGCATGTGTGACAGCCCGTGACCTAGTTCATCGGTCCCCAACCTTTTTTGCGCCACGGACCGGTTTATGCCCGACAATATTTTCACAGACCGGCCTTTAAGGTGTCGCGGATAAATACAACAAAATAAAACTAGTACCGGTACCAAAAAAAAGAAGATTTATTCATAGATCTAGAATGGCATCTGATTGGGGAACCTTGGCCTTGGCGCTCCTTTATACTGTCTCTGGTTGGACACTCCTGCTCCTCTGCCTGTGAATGGGTTTGGAAAAGAGGGATAAGGCTCTTGAGGCCCTGTTGTGCCTGATTTGGCATTGGAGAGGACCTTCACACACTACAGACTGCCTGGATTGCATTATTGGAGTTATGTCGTGCACCTGTATGCCTTTCCTACAGGGTGGCAGCCCATTTTAAGCACTCCAGCATCCCTTTGTGTTATTTCCTTTTTTATGTCTCCGATAGTCTGTCAGTTGGGCATTCCTTCCTTAGAACTCCCACAGGTGATCCCATTACAGGTTGAATAGTATAGCGTATCCTTCTCATGACCCGATGCTGGCTTCCTTTAGTAGTTAATGTGTGGTGTCTCTCCCCTCCAACTTACTCAGCAGGGCCCTCAGGTCTCCACCTCCGTAGGTGTCTCCCATCGTCTCTCCCTCTAGGGTGGTCTGAGGCTCCTCCTCCCACTGGGGGAAATTTGGAAGGTAGGCCTCAATGTCTCTTTGGGGAACATACAGCAGGCCTCTTCCATCTACTACTCGTAGTGGCAGTTGGGTTATTGGTATTGATTCCCCGCCTTGACCTCTCGGTCACATCCTACGAGTCTGGGGTGGAGATCTCTCAAATGTGAGCTGGGACCCCTCTGCACCACTCATTGGTGGAGGAGTGAATACCCCTGTGAAGTCTCCCACTAGTGTACCCTGAATCTGGGTTGTTTGGTTGTTTCCTTCAAGTCGTGTGGATCCTCCTCCAATTTTCCACTTGTCTTGGATCTCGTCCTCCAATCTGAGTCCTCCTGTAGGGCTGACCCTTAATATGCAGCCTGTCGATGGCATGGAGGGCGTGCTGGCACTGGCTTGTGCTTCGTGGATAATCTTTTTGGTGTGCAGTCCGAGGGGGCTGGTGAACTCCCGGTGCTAAGTGGTCCTTCTTGTTTCAAGGTAAGCTCAGCAATGGCCTGCTTCAGTTCATTCACCTGCCAAGTGGATTGAATTACCACCTTTACCGCTGTGTCTGCCATTTCTGTCACTTCCCTGTGAAGTGTAGCATTTGCCTTCTGATTCGAAGCCTCATCTAGATCCAGGACGCCAGTCTTTACTTGGAACAGTGGGGGTACTGGCCCCAGCATCAGCACAAGGGGGCGGCGTTGTGAGCAAAGCAGGTAGAGTCTGGCCGCGCTCCTTTTTCTTCAGAGTTCCCTTCTCCACCTTTCTGTTGCTTTTTCTTTCATTTCTTTGCTTACTTCCCTGCTGTGTGTGTGTGTGTGTGTGTGTGTGTGTGTGTGTGTGTGTGTGTGTGTGTGTGTGTGTGTGTGTGTGTGTGTGTGTGTGTGTGTGTGTGTGTGTGTGTCTTTATCTGATATTTTCAAACTGGTTTGGCTGGAAATAACCATTCCTGTTTATGTGGTTTCTTTGGTCCTCACAGCTTGGTTGATTTATTTGTTCGACACTGCAAGGAGTTTACACTAGCTACCCAGTACACACTGCACATCCTTGTTTTGTTTTTTTGCAGAGGATGGGGCATCCCCGGTTGTCACAGCTGACACAATGCAAAGTCAGTTAAAGAATAAAATGTTACAATCCTAGCAGATCGGACAGTAAGGTTTTATCAGGGAAAACATTGGTATGCTGGCCCTTTGCTACTATTGTACCAAAACACCACTATTCTAGCTTCTTGGAGTTCATCTTTTATAAACAATGCCTGAATGACCCCCTCATTTCTGCACCAAAGTCACTGCAGATCAGTGGTGTTCGATACAGCTCTGTTGTATTCTCATCTCTGCTTTAAGGAATTTGTTTTTGCAAAGAAATTATAATCTGTTGAATAAAACGGCATGAAAATAACGTACACGAGGCATTGGTGACCATTAGGGCTGCTCGATTATGGCAAAAATGATAATCACGATTATTTTCACTGAAATTGAGATCACGATTATTTGACGATATTTATTTAACCCTTTAAGACCTACTATAGAACCAAGTCCACCAGAGCTTATATTATTTTTTTACATGCTGTAGTGCCATTTGTGGGAGCATTTCAAGTTGCTATACATCAATACAACTGTTATAGCCCATATTTTAATAATATGTATGCATTAAGTGCATAGTAATTACATAAATTGCAAAAAAGTGCAATAAACTACAAAAAAAATTGAAAATCGCTTTTGTTTTGTTTACATATATTTCTACTTGGAGAAATTTAAGAGGTTTATCCCTCAAAACTTTAAATACAATAAAGTTGCAAAAAATAGTTTCCCACCACAGGAAATTTATTTTGAGTGTCTTCATAGTTTTATTTTGGAGATACAGCAATTTTTATATACTGCAGGAAAAACAAAAAACAATCCTATGATGCAAATTTGCAAAGAAAACAGCAGGTGCATCATTTCACTGTGGGAAGTGTTACGAACAGCTGATCGGATCGGCAAAGCGTGTTTCTGGAATATTATGTTTTGTTCCTGCAAGCGCTTTTTATGCAATTTTGCAAAGCTATATGTGGAAGGAAACCGTGACCGAGGACAAGCTGATGGCATCAGATGTAAGTACAACTCCTCCGGTTTCATATGCAAAACAAATTATTGCGCTAGCTTACACGGTTCAGGTTCTACAGGGATTTAAAAATAGTTACGCAAAACGGAGCGTGCTGCTCTGACCGGCTTTAAAGGGTTAACAATGACTTTAAAAAATAATATAAAATAGTGTGCAACACCACTGAAGTTTTTTTTTTTTAAACTCTCTTTTCAACCAACGGCAGTCACTCTCCAAATAACTTCTGCTTAGCTTTCCGAGCTTCCCTCGGGTCCTCTTAATCAGCGGTCTCCAACCTTTTTTGCGCCACGGACCGGTTTATGCCCGACAATATTTTCACGGACCGGCCTTTAAGGTGTCGCGGATAAATGAGGGAGGGGCTAATAATCGGCTCAGTCATTTTTAATGATCGTTGAAAGCCCAGATCGTAATCGTGATTAAAATTCGATTAATTGAGCAGCCCTAGTGACCATAGAAAACAAGCAGCAGAATTTATACCTACATTTCTGCTGTATATTCACATATTCACATTCTATCCAGTTAAACATTTTTGCGTCCTCACCTTGGGCCTGAAATTGCTTACAGTGTGTTCACTCATTGGTGCATGTTAAATGTTAAAGTTCACGATGGTACGATTGGACTGAAATTGTTTGGCTTGTTTGGAGGAAAGCCTCTTTTCTCAAAAATGAACTTGGTAGCATGGCTTTGGTTTGCATCTGAATAAACCAGAAGATTTCTGGAACAATGTCCTTTTATAGTAACACGAATTCTGTTAGCACAGCGTGGGGAGGTGATGGTTTGGGCTTTTGCTGCAGTCCACCATGAGATATCATATTTAACTGTAAAACAGCAAAGTATTCTGTAGTCAGATGTGAGGCCATCTGTCTGACAGCTAAAGTTTGCCAAAATCGGATTGTCTAGCATAACAACGATCCCTCAAGTACAGCAGCAACTCTATAACATAGTGGCTAAAGAGGAAAAAAATCAAGGTGCAATAATGACTCAGAGTAAAAGTTAAAATCACGATCCTGATCAAAACGCTGTGGAGGAACCTCGAGAGCTGTGCATGAATGAATGTGCACAAACCCAGGTTATCTCAGAATATTGTAATTATCTCTTAAACGTGTTCTTCCCTACAGGCTGTGGGGTTAATGTGACAAACAGCAACCCAACAGTGTGCATCAATGACCTGATCCAGTCGTACAACTTACAGCACAACTGCAGCCTGCAGCCGCTCAGCTGTGCCCAGCTCATCGCGAGAACTGTCAACTGCCTGGAGGCCCTTATTGACAACTTCCAGCAAGGAGGCCCAGAGTCTGTCCTGCCCACGTACTACAAGAGATGGCTCCACAGGTGTGTAACGTAGACAACTCTTGATGCTTTGAACTAAGATTTCACTTTTACTTAGAATCACACACAATTTATTTTAGCAACATGGGAACAAGGATTTAATGGACGATTTTCAGTGTAGAGATGCACTGACCGGATTCAAATCAAGTATCCTTATGATACCACTTCCTATTTTTGCTTTTACTGACCCAGTCTCTAATACAGGGAAACTGTAATGTCATATATCTCTCTAATTACAAATTACATAATATTTAACAATCTCTTGTGTGGATACAAATTGAGGTAATTAAATGTGTTCTCTTTATCTTGTGATTAAATCTCATTCAGTCATATTTAACTTTCTTTTTCTGATTCGCCTGTTAATAGACTTTTAATCTTTTATGTACATATATCCTCAAACGCTACTAAAATGCAGTCAAATCTAATTTATATTCCATTGTGCATTCAGAAGTACATAACATGAACAAAACTGTGTAAAAGAAAAACGGCACATAAAATCCTGAAACAGATGATGTTTTGTTTTTCATGTAAGAGTAAAGTGGCTCTGGAGTTGGGTTTTAACCACTGTTCAACTTAAGTTTACTAGACCCCACATTCACATTTAAACTGTAAAAACTGCTCTCTTTGTTCTGACCTCAGTGGAACTTGGGTGCGTCTCTGGAGTGAGGACGGCCCAGAGGTTCAGGTGATGGGTCTGGACCACAACGGTTTCCTCCAGGTGCACAGCAAGGAGCAGGGTGTGGTCTCAGTGGAGCCGGATGGAAACTCATTTGATATGCTGAAGAATCTGGTGGTCATCAAAACACATTAGGACCAAATTCATAAAGCACAGACTCATCGTGTGTGTGTGTGTGTGTGTGTGTGTGTGTGTGTGTGTGTGTGTGTGTGTGTGTGTGTGTGTG